CTGCCCCTTTGGTCTCTTGTATCTACTTGAGCTAAGAGGCCTACTCCTCACGAGTATCACTATGTCCCACAGTCCAATCCAATCCCTGTCTGAGGAGTTGGCCTCGGAAACTGTTTTAGTTCTGGGCTGATAGAGAATCCAGGGGCCATGCTTTCTGGTGACCCATTAATTTTGCTAGAGACAAGGTTTATAGATCTACAACAGAACAGTGTGAGACTTCTCTACCTTGACCATAGTCCAGAGATACCTTAGTACTAAGGTAGTGACAGAAAGCTATAATAGTCTGTAACCATGTTCAGCATGCTTTTTCTGTAAAAGGCCAGAAAGCGAATACTTTAGGCTTTGTGGGCCATATGCTCTTTGCTGCAACTACTTAACTCTGGCACTGTAGCGTGAAAGCAGCCATGGATAGTATGTAAATGAGCGAGCAGGCTGGGTTCCAATAAAATTTTACTGGGAAGAACTGATCAGTGGGCAGTAGTTTATCAACCACTGCTCTATGAAGTCCTAACTGGGCTCATGGTTTTGATCAATTCTAGCAATATTCTGGATGTAACATTTTATCTTCACACTTAAAATAGAAATGCACACCTATATATGATCTAATTTTATAAGAAATTAATAGGAGGAGGCCTGGAAGGAAACAATAAAATAAAATCAAGATAGTAGTTGGGATGGCAGGATTATGCATAATTGGTCATCATTTACCAAAAAAAATGTTTAAATAACTGTAAAAGTTATACAATGGAGCATGAAATGACTTCATAAACAAGCGATAACAGCTTATAATAACTACCATAAAGAAAACAAGCAGGGTACTACCCATGGTAAGAGAGCATCAGAGGAGGGTCAGTAGTGACAGAAGACATCTCCAAGGAGATGGCATTTATGCTGAGAGCTGAAGGAGAATAATATCATCCAAGTAAAGAGCTGATAGAAGAGCATTCGCCCAATGCTCATAAGCAAGCAAAGGTATTGATGAAATACAAGAAACTGACAAATATTTTTGGGAAGGTGGATTGCTAAACATAATGAGAAATGGGGAAAGGGACACCTCATTTCAAGGTAATAGGGTTCCCAAGTAAAGCAGGACCAGCATCATCCAACAAGGACAGAAAGAGCTGCTTCTGCTGGCAAGGAGAGCTGAGAATGGCTTGGAAGTTCACGGACCTCATGATATCTAAATCTGCCCATTCCAAATCTAAGGATTTCCTGCTATCCCAAGGATCGCCCTTCCACATCAGAAGTCTTTTCATTTCTTTTCAAGGCATTCATAGAAGCTCTCTGGCCCTCTGACTGTACCCTGAATCAAGAATTTCTAAAGTTGTTCTTTTTTTTTCTTTCAGCTCTCCAGTACAGTCAAAAATAACCAGCCCACATTCCTCATTCTCTCTCTAAAGATCTTTTGCAATACCCCCACTTTACAACAGGGTTCCATTCCAACAACTCCGTCGGAAGTCAGTTCTGATGTGAGCCGAATTTTTTTTTTTTTAATTTAGTTTTCATCATTATTGCCTTTTATTATCAGTATCTTTACAAATACGATCTTTGTCTTTGGGGGTTGGCATGAGAATGAGAACAGCAAAATACACAATGCAACAGTGTATGTAGTACATATTACTAACAATAAGATATCCAAAAAACAAAAAAACTCAAACGGACGGTTGTAAATGCAGTTTGTTGTTAACTCGAATACGTCGTGGAAGTCAGGGACTATGTGTAGTTACTTGTTCTACCAAAGTTTGCCTTCAATAGGCACTTTATTTTATACAACCACAAATAATAAATAAGTTAACTGTTCATCACTGTGTACCACAGGCTACCAACATTCTATTTTCTCATGATAATGGGATCATCAATCACTACCTTCAATATATTCAACCAGGTCATATAACCAATCCAGACTTCCATTACCTTGAGAGTGTACTGTCCTACAACCATTCCTGATACCAAAACTATATTATTCAGGGTTCAGACAACAAAATCAACCTTAGCTATTTTAAGCAACAGAGACTGGTTTTCAGTGAGCGTTAGAGATCACTACAAGGCTGAAAAAAACAGGCTCTATGTCAAGCTTTTAGGAGCAACTAAATACAACAGAACTGGGCCACCAAAGGAACCAATGCTTGTCCTACAATCAATCAGGAAGCTGCACATGAATCTGAAAGCATCTTCTACTCCAGAACATTGAACAACAACAATGAAATCCAACTTATAGTCACAATCCTAGCAGTAAAAACATTATAAACAGAACAAACTCAAACTCACGTCCACCTTCCAAATCTCACGAGTGTACCTGTGGCAGAAACAAACTAACATTCAGAACCCTAGCTGCAAAGGAGTACGAGAAATGTACTTTTCAGGTTTTATAGTTTCTGAATCCCAGAAGGAGGTCTGAATGATGCTGAACACCCCCCGATAAAAATAACATGAAATTCTGGTCGCCATGCCTCAATACACATGCTACAATGGGAGAGGACAGAAAGCAACTGAAGTAATTTAGGAAATGAAGTTGCCCAGAGAATAGAGGGCAAAAAACAGAATAGAAAAAATTTTTTTAAAGATGTTGGGCAGAGAGGGTGAGGAATGGGTAGAGTGTATAGGACAGAATTAATAAAACTAGCATGTATAAGAACAGAATGACCAAGGACTTAAGAGTCACTAAATCTTTATCTTTTATTTTTAAATATTAAACTTTAAAGAAAATAAATGAAAAGAAATAAATATGTTGCTCTATATGTCAAATTATCTTTTGTTTTGTTGTACTTTATTCCTAATCCCAAGAACTAACCAGAATAAAGTAAAACCAAAATTTGCAGGGATGAAAAACTGTGAAGGTACAATTCTGTATTTCTTAAAGGAAGGACAGAAAGAACATGCTTAGATAAAACAGACCATAAATGGACTACCATCAGATGCCCAGGTTGCCAAACCACTAGTCTTTTATTTGTCCTAATGCATTATAATACAAGTAAATTGTTGTTTTTAGTTGTTGTTGATTCAACTCCGACTCATGGCGACCCCATGTGTCTCAGAGAGGAACTGTATTCCATAGGGTTTAAAGGCTGCAGCCTTTCAGAAACAGACTGCCAGGCCTGTTTCCCAAGACGCTTCTGAGTGCAACCTTTAAGCTAGTAGTCAGCACTTAACCGTTTGCGCCACGCAGGGGCTTCTTACAAGGAAATTAACTAACTCTAATTCTACACTAAAATCTAGTCCTTCAAGCATTAAGCTTCCATCAAATGCATACATGAAAATGTAAGACTTCCTTCAAACAAACTTAAAAATAAAACATTCTAAATATTAGAAAAAGGTTTTAGACAACAGACTTCTACTAACTTGGAAGTTCGCCATTCAGTCAGGTAACAACAAAGAAACGATCACCCCCTCCCCATCTCACCCCAGGATTTTTAAAATTAACTAAACAGTTTTGTGATTCCACTTGTTCCAAAAAAAAAAAGAAAAAAGTAAACTAAAAAACAGACTTCATGGACTCTGTGTGTCCTATCTGCTTCTCCTTCCTAGACACATGGCAGATTATACCTTTCAGATCCTCTGCAGTTTGGTAGGGCCGTGTGGCTTGTTCTGGACTTTAATACATGAGCATAAGTAATGGAAGTCACTCCTGGGCCAATGAAGATAAAAGCTCTGCCTGCAGGTCCTTCCACTACCCTCTTCCCCCAGCAATTTTGGGAAGCATGCACTGACATGGCAGCAGTACAAGATGAAAGGAGCCTGGATCCCTGAGTCACCAAGCAGAGGAAAGTTCCTACAAACCCACTCACCTGAAAAACCTCTGTTGGGTTAAGTCATTAAGATTTCGGCGTTTGTTATTTGTAAACTACAGCATAGTACAAATTTTAGTAAAAGAAGAGGCCTATAAAAAATATTTTACTACTCTGGTAACTTAAAAGACTATATACCTCAAATTCACTATCCATTTTAAATAGTTAAAAGCTTAACTATATAAACCCACTGCCATCGAGTCAACTTCGACTCACAGCAACCCTACTGGCAAACCAGAACTGCCCCATAGGGTTTCCAAGGAAAAACTGGTGGATTAGAACTGCCGACCTTTTGGTTAGCTGCCAAGCTCTTAGCCACTGTGCCACTAGGGCTCCACTTTTATACCAAAACCAAACCAAATTTGTTGCCGTCAAGTCGAATCCAACTCACAGTGGCCCTCTAGGACAGAGGAGAACTACCCCATAGGGTTTCCAAGGAGCGGCTGGTGGATTCAAACTGCCGACCTTTTGGTTAGCAGCCAAGCTCTTAACCACTGTGCCACCAGGGCAAGTGGGTAAATACATATAAAAGATGTGTATGAGGTATACACACACACACACACAAATGCGTGTACATGTGTGTATATGTGAATAAAGGAAACTTTTTGTGTGTGTGGTGAAAACATACACATCAAAACATACACCAACTCAGTAATTTCTACACATACAATTCAGTGGCATTGGTTACATTCTTCAAGTTGTACAACCATTCTTGTTATCTTTTCCAAATTATTCCACCACCATTAACATAAACTCACTGCTCCCTAAGCTTCTCATCCAACCTTTCAAGTTGATGTTGTTTATTTATAGATATAGATGATTCTATATAGATATATTCTATATAGGTATAGGTAATTCTTTAAAAGAGCACAATGCTCAATACAAACATTCTTTACTAATTAAGCTAAACCACTGTTTGGTTTAAAGACGTCTTTGGGGGATAGTTTTGGTTTAAGATTTAAAGATTACATTAGGCCATAGTTTTGGAGAAGGGGGGCAGGTCATTCAACTTTAATGGCTCCAGAAAGCCTAGATTCCATGAGAATTTGAAATTATGTTCTACATTTTCCCTCCTTTTGATCTGGATTCTTCTACAGAATCTTGGATCAAAATATTCAGTATTGATAGTCAAGCACTATCGAGTTCTTCTGGTATCATGGCAAGGAAGCAGTTTAAGAGAAACTCTTGGTAACAAAAATACTTAATTTGACTTACAGTGTGAGCACATCTCCAAAGGGTAACTTGCCTCATTTCCCTGCGGGGAAAAAAAAGGAAATAATTAGTCACAAATCAGCACAAAGTTCTTTAAAATATTAAACTCATATAATTTTAGTCACAAGACATGTGGAAATAAACCTTAAACTAATGTATCTAGATTCATAAATTATTCATACTTTTTAAATTGATTTAAAAAAGTTATAACATTTTATAGAAAGAACTCTCCAACCAAACAGGCCTGAGTTGTGGCTCTGCCACTTACAAACGGGCAAACCTAGGCAAACGTGACCCAAACATTTAATTAAAATTTAAGTACTTTTTAATACCCTAAATGTGCTACACATCAAATTTTCACACAATGGAGACTGTCAATGCTCTAACTTGTCTTGCTAGGTTAACTCATCTTGGGGTAGAGCTCAGAATAAAGATTCTCCTGCCATTTAACTGAACAGCTTCCTAACAGTACAAAGTGAGCTGTTAAAAAAAAAAAAACACAAACCTGTTTCCATTTATACCTGTGTGAAACAGAATTTTCTATATGCTGTGCAACTAAAATAAGAAAAATACTAGCAGGAAGGTGAGTCCAATATAAGACAGCCAACCACTTGTACCCATTTCAAAATTCTGTACTCATGAAAATCTTAGCTCATAAATAGATACAAAGTTAACATAATTAAGCTAAACTTCCAATTTATGAAAAAATAAAAATTATCTATTTTCTATACTAGGATTCCATGTAAAGTTTATTTAAGGAAAAGGGTGTCCAAAAAATAAAGTATAAAAAACTACAGACCTGGTCCAATGCCTACATTAAACAAATCTGAAGAACTGGGCCCAGGAGGTCAAGTATCTGGTGGAAGATCACACCACTTGATTAGTAGTGGAACAAAGAAAAGTTCTAAATCTAAAACCGTAAAAGTTCCAAGCATAGCAGACTCACACGAGGTAAAACCATTAAGCTCTTTAAAAAAGAACTATAGAATTTAAAATAATTTAAATTAAGTTTTAAAAATTCAATAGCAAAATTTGGAGTACTAAGTAGCCTATATTCTGTTTATCTAATCTTGGCCCTGCCAGCAATTAAACAGCACTAAGTGTGCAATGGGATTAATATTTGAATATATATATATATCCTAAAGAGCTACTGAAAAGCAGTCTGAAAAAAATTTTTTGTCAGTCTGGCTGGCTGGTTTTTAAATTGCTAAAAGTATCTCCAATCCTATATAAACTTAAGGTCTAAGAAAAGTTCTATCAGTAAATTGCTGTTGCTAGTTACTGTCAAGTCAACTGCAACTCATGGCGACCCCATGTGGGCAGAGTACAACTTCCCCATGCAGTTTTCAAGGCTGTGACCTTTTTGAAGCAGGCTGCCATGCCTTTCTTCGGAGGCACCTCTGGGTAGATTCAAACTTCTAACCATTCAGCTAGTAGCTGAACACTTAACCATCTGCACCACTCAGGGATTCCCATCAGTAAATTACTCTATTTTTTTGCAACTAGCACGCCCAGGTAAATAATGCACACATACATACAACACACGGAAATGATGAAATTATGGGTAAAAGTTCTGGCATGAATATACACTGTATGTCTCGTGACATTTTCAGAAGTGAATTTTGGCCTCATTTACCCTCATTTAATTGTTCAAAGATGTTACTTTTGATCCTATTTGTATAATAATAAAGGTATAAGCCATGGTCAACAAGTCATGGATCATGTTTGGTAGTATCCACGTAACTGGAAAATAAACCACTGAAACTGTGCATTTACTCTGGGGCAGTTCGCAGCCCAGCCTGAGAACAGTGGGGTTCCTTGCAGCAAATCTGCGCCCAGGTACAAAGGGTCAGAGATGGGCAAAGGTTGGGCAAAGGGCTGCGCTGGCGCAGCGGTCACAGCCCAAGCACAGGCTGGTCCCGCGGCAGGCGGGGCCATTGCCAGCGTGCACATGGGTCCCGCTGTGCTGACCCCACAAGATGTCGGGCAGCAGGACAGGTGCAGTACGAGCGCGATCAGTTGGACCCTCTAGAGGGACACACACCCGCTCTGAACCCACAGCTCTCACGCCAGCCCCACGGCGTCTGCCCAGGTGGGAAATTCAAATGACCCAAAAGAGGCGACAGGCCAGCCAGACGGTGCTGTAGCGCGCCGGCCTCGCTGGCCTGAGTGGCCACAGAACCGTGCACCTCCCGTGGGAGCCGGATGCTCTGGCAAGGGCTGTTTCCAGGGTGGAAAAAGTGATTTCTTCCTGCATTGGAGAAAGCGGTTTGCACAGCAGGGAAGGAATCCTGCCAGTAGAGGGGCTGCTTTAGAAGCTCAAGGGTAGGCTGGTGAGGGTCTGGTGCTGGGAACCAAACCTCCGTGTCAACAGGCACCAAGACGAAGACTTAACATTAAATCCGCTGGACATAAAAAACAATTCAAACTGAAGTCAACAACATGTAAAAAAAAATATTGGTATAAGTGCACTTTATGAAAATAACTCGTGGGGGCTGCAAAGTATGCAAAAAACATCTAACACGTGCATTGTGTAAAAATACGCAGCATTTTCAATTCTTGTCATGTTGCCAGTAAGCACTCTCTTCCAGAAGTGGTTAAATTTTACGTCTGTATTGTGAAAGAGCCCTGGTGGTGCAGTGTAGTTAAGCGCTTGGCTGCTAACCAAAAAGTCGGCGGTTCGAACTCACCAGCCACTCTGGGGAAGAAAGATGTAGTAGTCTGCTTCCATAAAGATTTACAGCCTTAGAAATCTATTGGGCAGTTCTATTCTGTCCTATAGGGTCGCTATGAGTCAGAATCTACTCGATGGCAACGGCTTTTTGGTTTAAGTATGCATTAAATACTTATTAAAGTAAGGATGGAAAAAATAGCAAACATTAGCAAAGATTGATTTTATTAATGAACAAACACGAATTTCTGCTTATTTTGCACCTTTCATCCTAAGATTCTTACAAATAATTCCTGTCTTTTATTGCCTCATATTCTTGTAAGTCTTAATTTTGAAAATATTCTTTTTCTTTTTAAATCTTCATTCTCTCCACCTTTTAGTTAAATATGTTTTTTGCAAGGTTCTCAAAAGAATACACTGATATTTTATTTACTAAACCTTGGATTATCACTGTGAGGTTTTGTTTTTTGAATTTTTTAAAAATAAGTAAGGTTATAATTGTTTTATAAGTAAAGACAAAATGCTGATGTGGTAGTTTCAGGCTGACTTTTGAAACCACATCCTTGTTTCTTTAGTTCACTGACCTCTACAGTGTTATCCATTTTTTATAAAGGATACCACTCGTACCCTTTTCATCTGGATCACTCCTTCCTGGCCGGTGTACAAAGGACCCAAAGACCAGCCAGGCCAGGGCCCTGAGGGCTTTCCACCAACACTGAACACATCATCTCTCTCCTAAACTGAGGATCCACGTATCCAAAAGGTTATCTCAACCTCAACCTGTCCAAACTTACCACATCACATTCCTGTTAAAATTCAATAGCTCCCCAATGTCTTCAGGATACAAATAAAAAATCCTTAGCAAAAACACGTAAAAGCCCTTTAAGAGAACTCCAACCTCTGCAGTCACTCCCCCCATCTCGACCTTACACCCCTCAAATAAACCAGTAAAGCAGTTCCCCTAATATGTCATACACAGCAGGGTCTCCAAGAATACTGCCTCCTTTGAGAACACCTTGCTTTGGCCAATCTCTTCTTCAGCTGGATTCTACTCTAATAGTATGAGTCAGAGAAGTAATCCTGGGCCAGTTCATGTTGGGCCTTGGTAAGAATGACACAATTTGTTTGATATTTTAAAAGGAAGATTGGGGGAGGGAGAGTGGAGCAAGGCAGTGAAAGCAGAGAGAACAGTTAGAGGCTACTGCAATAATCCAGGCATGAGACAGTGGTAACTTGGAACAAGGTGACAGCAGTGGAGGAGATGAAATGTAAAATACTGAACATATTTTTAAGGTAGACCTGGCATTAGTTGTTCAGGACTATATACGGAGAAAGAGAAAAAGAAGAGTCAAGGATGACTCTGAGATTTGGTGGAAAACCTCCCCGATCTCCCCTATTTATTTTTTAATGGAAGACAATCCATGAAGGAATTCTGCTGTAAAAGCTCAATCAGAATATAGAATAAAAAAAGCAAAAATCCCTGTTTACATCCCTTCCCCATACTTCCCCCAGAAGTAACCATATATCCCTTCCCCACACTTCCCCCCAGAAGTAACCAACTGTTTTAGAACACGTTATAAACTGTCATAAAGCATGTATTTGTCCGATTTTTTAAATATTATTAAAGAAGAAAACATTTTTTGAGTACTTGATGTATTTCAGGGACTCCAAGTAGATAGTTATACTTCTTATAGAATGTGTGTTATATCTAGCATGTAACTAACTCTACCTCTTACTAGCTCTGCGACCTTCAACAAATTTCTTAAATTATCTGTGCCTCCATTTTCTATATATAAAATGGGGATAGTAATAGAAATTTACATCATAAGGTGGTTGTGAGGCATAAACTAATATACATAATGCACTAGAACAGTTCCTTACACATAGTAAGTACAGTATAATATAAACATGTGCTATTATTTTTACTAGGGTAGACTTATACCCACCTACCCACTGCCATCGAGTTGCTTCCAACTCATAGTGACCTCACCGGATTTCCAACGCTGTAAATCTCTATGGAAGCAGCTTGCCACATCTTTCTCCCGCAGAGCTGCTGGTGGCCTCAAACTACTGACCTTTTGGGTTAGCAGTCAAGTGCTTTAACCACTGGGCCACCAGAGCTCCTCAGTGCAGTATAAATACTGGTAAGAATTAAGCATAGGATCTAAAAAACAGTCCATCAGAGAGAGGCATACGACCCGATACAGGAGGTCAGAGAAGGTAAACTATAGTGGTTGAAAGATCAGGGGCTGTCAAGGTGAGGAAGGAAGACTGCAAAGAGGCAGCAGGTTCTACATCTTAACTGTGGTCGTGGCTCCTTAGAAAGGAGGATGGCAAGACTTTGTCTTACATTCTTTGGACATGTTATCAGGAAGGACCAGTCCCTAGAGAAGAACATCATGCTTGGTATAAGGTAGAGGGTCTACGAAAAAGAGGAAGACCCTTAACAAGATGGGCTGACACAGTGGCTGCAACAATGGGCTCAAACATATCAACTACTGTGAGGATGGTGCAAGACTGGGCAGTGTTTCGTTCTGTTGCACGTAGGGTCACTATGAGTCAGAATTGACTCAAACGTACCTAACAACAAGAAGCCCATTCCAAGTATAATGGAACTGCTTCACAACACATAAATTTAAGTCTCTAGTCAAGAAAGATAGTCTCATCACTTTCTTTAAAATAATAATATAGTTTCATATAATTGCCATACTATTATTCACAACTCAAAAGCTATGTGGATTTTTGTCTTCATAAAGTACATAAGCATTTCAAGGAAGCAAATTACATTATTTTTCAGATTCATTTTCTAGTAACATGACAAACCAGAAATTATTTACAGTAACAGAAATCTTGAACCTTTTACAGTGACACCTGTGAGACCTATAAGTCGATGAGAATGCCCTGTTTTTCCAGGTCTCTCAAGTTTTCCGCCTTTGACAGAATGCAGCCTTACCACTCTTCTATTGCTCTCTGACAGGTTTCCACCTTATACAGGTTCAGGCTTTTGCAGGTTTTACTGTAATTCTTTCATCTCTTACTGAGTTCCCTTTTTAGATTTGAAGATCCATGAAGGCAGCAAATGTCTCATCTTTTGATATTCCTTGCCACATTTAACACTGCCCTAGATTATTTTAAGGGAAAATTTATAGGTGCATGGTAAAAATCTACATAGTCTTAAAGAACTAGATACAAGTGATTTTCAAGCATCAATGTATCGAAGAATATGGTTAAATTAAGGGCACATTATGTTGTTGTTAGGTGCTGTCGAGTCAGCTCTGACTCATAGCAACCCTGCGTACAAAAGAACAAAACACTGCCTGGTCCTGAGCAATCCTCACAATCACTGCTATGTTTGAGTCCACTCTTGCAGCCACTGTGTCAATCCCATCTTGCCGAGTGCCCTTCTCTTTTTTGTTGACCAAGCACGATGTCCTTCTCCAGGGACTGGTCCCTCCTGACAACAGGTCCAAAGTAGATGAAGTCTCAACATCCTTGCTTCCTAGGAGCACTCTGGCTGTACTTCTTCCAAGACAGACTTGTTCATTCTTCTGCAGTCCATGGGATATATTATTCTTCACCAATACCGTAATTCAAACGTATCAATTCTTCGATCTGCCTTATTCATAGTCCAGCTGTCACAAGCATGAGAGGTGACTGAAAATCCCACGGCTTGGTTCAGGCACACCTTAGTTCTCAAAGTGACATCTTTGCTTTTCAACATTTTAAACAGGTCTTTTGCTGCAGATTCGCCCAACGTAATAATACGTCATTTGATTTCAGGGGGCAGCGTATGATCAAGAACTGATGGTACTGAAGGAAGAAGTCCAAGTTGCACTGAAGGCACTGGTGAAAAACAAGGCTCCAGGAATTGACGGAATTCCAATTGAAGGCACACTGTTAAGACTCAATAAATTCTTAAAATCCACTTGTTATTAAAGTACTTCAGATATTCATTTTTCTTCATGCTTGCTTTTCATAATGAGTATCTATTAAGCATTTGGCTCTACATACATTTTAAACAGGCAAAGAAGACTCTAATACTGAAGTAATATTTACAGTTCACAAGGAGAGCCTATAACCAAACAAGGCAATGCTGTCACCACTTAATAAAGTCTATTAAGTCTAGGAAAAAAATTATTGTTTAAATTTTCTGACAGCATGCCCTTTGAAAATATTCTAAACTTTACAGTACGCACCTATAAAATTTTTTATACTCTCAAATGTTGACACTTTAAGATCAACTAAACAAAATGATAGAGATCTAAAAAACACTTCATTTCTTTGTCAAAAATAT